AGTCCCAACAAACTCCTCTCCCTCTCCATCCCAGAGAGCCCACCGGTTCCACACGCCGTCTCAGTAACAGGGACTTGCCATGGAACATAGCTTTTTAACTAAAATACAAATTCTCCAGCGTGAACTTTGGTTGTGTCTATTCCCAAATGATAGCACAATGCTGGCATAAGTTAAAAATCTGCCTTGAGAAGTTTTCATTCTCTGCTCTTGTTATAAATCCTATGTTTTATATATACACATATATATGCATATATGTATATATGTGTGTGTGTATATACACACATACCTCCATACTTCTCTGACTGAAACAAGAAAAAAGGGGCTTAAATTTTAAAATACTCTTATTTGTCCAATCTCATTTCACGGTTCCTCATATGCTTTTGATACATGCTCTTGACCATAGAACTTAACAGATTTTTCGCAGAAAATGCTACATTAATGATTTCCACAAATTAGATTCCTCAAACATTTGGAAATCTATTTTAGAAAGTGTATGAATTATAATACTTTAATCAGTGTTTTCTGTGTGAACACGACAAACTAAATCACGGTGTCGTCTTTACAATATGAGCCTGTCTTCAGCCTCCTGTTATTTCCCTGTGGAAATATCTTGGTGCCAGTCCGACTGGGCACTTGACCCTTCTCACAAGTGTCTTGGCCGTCTGGCATCAGTGCACAGAGTCCCCTGTGCCTGGGCTCACCTCTCCCCACTGCCCTTCCTCCGGTCCCTTCTGTTCCCACCACTGCCCATGTTCTCAGTACGTGCAGTGGTGGCTTCCTGACAGTAATGACCAATGGATCTTCAAACAAGGAGCTACTAGATAAGGTTCGTATTTTGAGAAAACTCTGGCTGTTGGGTAGAATGTGTTTGGATGTAGGCGTGCCTGAAGGTAGGCACTCAAGTTTTAGGTGACTGTGTTGGTCCAGGAGAGCTCTTAGGTAGACCCGAACCAGGGCAGCAGCATTCTGGTTGATTAAGAGAGGACTGCTGGAACTTAACTGTGGACAGAACTTGGTGATTGATTGGGATAAGAAGTAGGGTGATGGCAGATTCTCTAACTTAAATCGGGGAAGACAGCAGGTTTGGGCCACGTCAAATTTAGAGTTTCCAGTGGAACACCCAGAGGGAGGAAGACGCTGAGCAGGTAGTTGGAACTATGCATCATGGTGGGGAAGAAGATTAAGACTGGAGAGGCAGGCTTGGGGGTGGGAGTTGAAGCCACAGGCATGAAGGAGACCATCCAGGGAATGAGTGTTAGGAGAGGTGTATGGCAAGGAGGCAGTTCTGGGAAAGAGCAGCGTGAAGGAGTGACATTCAGGATGATGGGCCAGTGAAAGGGGCTGGAAAAGAAAAGTGAGGAGAGTAGGGAGAGAGCTGGAGGGAGGTGGAGCCGCCGAGTCGCGGGGAAGAAAGAGGTCTGCAGAGAGAGGAGGGGTGGGTCAGTGGGACGGAGGCCTGCAAAGACTAGAGATTTAAAGGAATCGTCTGAGTCAATTCCCTCACTTTTACAGATGAGAAAAAGGAAATCTCCTAAGGTTAAAAGGTTTGCCATGGGTCATGCAGCTCATTAAGTGGCAGAGTCGCATTTAAAAGTCACGTCTCCTGACCCTTGCTCTGTGCCCTGGCTGCCATTTCACCTTACCGCCTGGAGATCTGCTAGGTCGTGAGCTCTTCCAGCCTCTCGACTCCTCGGGGCACCTGTTACAGTGCTTCACGTGCGGGGGACTTCCGCCTGTTCGGGGGCTGCAGGCAGAGTGATCTTTTCTAAAAGGATTGCTGGTCATCGGTGCTCACCATGGCATATCGTTTCTTGGGCTCTGGAGCCAGTCTGTCTGGGTTCAAATCCTGGCTTTGCCACTTAACTGTGATCTTGGGCCCTAAGCTTCCGTTTCTCCACCTGTGAAATAGATGTACTGGTACTTATACCATGTGCTTATTGGGAGAACTGGGTGAGTTTGTATATGCCTGGTATATTCTAAGTGCTCAATAAATATTAGCTCCTGGCTTTTCGTTTTTCGTTTTTTCTTTTTTGTTGTTTAAACCCTTCACATTGCTCTTAGAATAAAGACTAAAATCCTCAACCAAGGCCCTGCGTGAGCTGGTCCCTCCTGCTCTGCCCCACACCCACTGTGTCTACTGTAGCTGTCCTGGTGTTCTATTAGTTCCCTGAGTGTGCGGTTATTCTACCAAATAACATGCTTTTCTTCGCCTCATCTTACCCACCAGCTTAAACTTCCCTTCCTAAGAGAATCCTTTTCTGATTGTCCCTTCCCTGGACCCCTGATTCAGTCATTCTTTTATCGGTATGTCTTTCTGTTGTTTATTTTCTTTAAGACACTCATCTTGTCATTATGCTTTTAGTTGTGTAGTTGAGGGGTTAACTGATTAGAGTTCACTTCCATGCTAGACCATGAACCCCATCATGTGTAAGAGGCTACGCTTGTTTTTGTTCATTTTTGTGTCCCTAGCCTCTGGGACAGTATTTGTCACATATTTGTCACATGTCAGTATTAGTGAGAGAATGAATGAACCAGTCCATTTAGTCTTGACAGTCATTGAACTAATACTTCCTCTTCTTTGAAAGCTCATGGAATCTAGTACCTAATGTAAATATCATTTTTATGATGACCTGCACATTTTAGCCACAAATTTAAAAAAAAAAAATCATATCTGTGTCTTGTTTATTCCTCAGCCTTTATTCCTCAGACAGCCTAATTACCTTTCCCTCTGAGGAGATAATATTTATGACTTTAAAACGCCATGCACGAAGAGACGAGGAGGAAGAGGATCCATTTCAAAGATGCTGAGAATAGGAACAAAATGGTCACCCGTTGGCAGCCAAAACAGGGAGACAGCCTTAACGATCTCATTGGGGCAGCCCTCCAAGCCTGACGACAAGGCCCTGTGGCAGGGATTCAGGGAGCGCTTTACTCAGGAATGGGGTAGCTTTTACTTGCGGTGACATGTAGTATTGTCAGCTTATTCCAGCCCCATAGTACCAGCAGCGAGGATGGGTGTGAGCCACTTCACAGAGATGGTCAGTGTGGCCTTAAGATCATTAGTTGGTGTTTTTTTGACTGAACTTAAAACCCAACCCAGACCATGGAGTAAAAGAACCTCAGCCTTTATGTGCATGCAGGTGCCGGCAGTGAGAGGTGAAAGGTGCTTCTGATGGCTGGCGTGTCCGCGGAAGTGAGGCGTGCAAGGGAAGAGTGGGACTTTCCAGCATGCTTGCACACGTGTGCGCACGCGCACACAGAGTTGTTCAGCTTTTTTTGTAACCCATGTGGCTAGCTAATGTGCGGTAGAAAACAAAATACCGACTCGTGGTGTATACTTACTTTTGACTTTAAAATTGGACTCCGAAAAAAATGTAAACTGATACTACCTATGAGTGAAGCAGGAGGAATTAATTTGTATATATATGCCCTAATAAAAGTAATAAGACTAGATCATTTACATGCTTATATGTGAGGTGCCCTTCTGTATGCTTACATCAACCGCATCCTTTAGTACTCTCCTCAGCCCTCATCCTCCAGTGCGGAGGAGGCTAGGAGGCTGTAGGCTCAGCAAGCATAGGGCTCAGGGCCCAGCACAGACCTCAGCTGGTACCAGGGTGGCACAGGCTGAGCAGGGGGAGACAGACATGAATGGCTGGAGAGATCTGGAAGCAGGTTGTGGAGGATGCGGGGCTGGACCTTGAGAGGTGGGCCTCTTGACATGAGCAGACAGAAGGGGGTGGGGTGTTTCAGGTAAGAATACCACAGTGAGTAAAGGTGTGGAGGCAGGAACCATGGGCATGGTGGTTTATGGGATAGCAGAGTGACCCGCATGCTTGCTTTACAAAGTAGTATCCGAGAGGAGGGAGTGGGATCGGGTTATCAAGCTCTCCAAGGCAGACCAGGGCACTCAGGCATGGTGGTAGGAAATGGGGAGACACTGCCTTTAACAGGAGTCGAAGAAAGGTGCAGGGAGCGGTTAGAAGGAGCGGACCTGGAGTCCTTGGCACTAGCATCTGAGCCTCTTTGCTCTTGAGATCGGAAGTGCCTCCGGGTCAGTGAATGGACCCTTTGTTCCCTCCTCACTGACAGCGTGCGCCAGAGGCCTCACACCCCTGGTCTCGCCCCAGCATTGACTTCCCCAAGGGATGCTGGCTGGCCTGAGTGTCCTGAGGGCTGGGACTCGCTGTCCCTCCAGCACCTGTGCATGGCCTGGCCTTCACCCTCATCACACAAAGCACCGACACAGGTCATCTTGTTCCGTCTCTTAACAATTCCAGGTATATCAGGTGTCTTCTTATGCCCATGATATTGATGAAGAAATTAAGGCTCAGGGAAGTTAAATAACCCTAGGACCCAGTAATAAGAAGTGTGGAAAATGTTCATAAAACATAGTTCTATTACAGTCCAGTCACCTCTCTCACACCACAAGGAAAGGAAGTTTTGTAAGTGAAGATTAAGTAAGATTGTCTGAGAAAGTTACTTTTTCCTTCCTTCCTTTGAATTGAGATATAATTCTTACACCAAAAATTTACCCTTTTAAAGTATACAGTTCAGTGGGTTTTAGTATATTCACTAAGTTGTACAACTGTCACCACTCTTAATTCAGGAATATTTTCATTACTCCAAAAAGAAATGGAGCACCCATTAGCAGTCACTCCACTTTTCCCTCCCCCAGCCCCTGGCAACCACTAAACTACTCTCTGTGCCCTGGATATTTTACGTGAGTGAAATCACACACTATGACTTTTCGCGTCTGGCTCCTTTCTCTTGGCGTGTTTCCAGGGTTCATTCACATTGTAACATGTATCAGGATGTTGCTCCTTTATCCTGAATAATATCCCATTGTATGGACATACCACAATCCGTTTATCACTGTGCAAGTTTTGACATGTTTCCAGTTCTCTTGGGTATATATTGGAAAGCTGCTTTGAAAGAGTTTAAGCAATATAAAGTCCAAGAGATCTTGTTTTCAATTTTCTTCCTGTGTTTGTTTCTAGTTCCCACTAGTGGCTGACTTGTTTCATGATGACAAGGACTCTGTTCCTGCCTCCACCACTTCTGGAAAGGGCTCGTCCTCAAAGATCAACATTCGCTCTGCCAGACCCCAGCTGAAAGTCGCCAACAAAGAGCACAAGAAAACCGTGGGCCACCAGGTCAGCGCTGGGGCCTGTGGCAGAAGGCTGTGGGCCATGGCACATGTGCAGGGCTGGCCTCTGTAGATAAGGGATGGCTGCAGAGTCAGAAGGAAGCCAAGGTGGCCTTGACATCTACAGTCCTGGCCACCCAGCTTTCTTTCTGTGCTGTTTGAAGAAGGAAAGTATGAAACCCTGTCTAGAGGGAACTGGCGGGAGAGAGAAAGGGAGTGACTCGAGCCCGAGACAGTGCACTTAATCCCTGTGGAGGAACATGCTGCAGCACCACAGGTGCCTAGTGGGAGGGGCAAGAGGGTCTAGAAGTCTGCAGTTTGGGGAGAAGGATTAAAAAAGCCTGGGGACCAGAAAACTGACAACTTCTCCTGCTGTGGGGTCTTTGTGGAATGTCATGTCCAGTGTTTCATAAGAGAAGAGATGAGAGGGCCTGCCCAGCCCCGGGCAACTACTAGGCTCTCTGTTTTGGTGGATTTGCCTACGATGGGCCTTTCATGTAAATGCGGTCACTTCCAGGTGCCCGGGCACCGGATGCGCAGCCTCCAGGGCCTCGGGTTTAGGAGCAGCAGGCCTCCAGGCACAGTGGTCATCTCTCGTAGTACATACTTGCCTTACATCACCTTTGCTCCAACACTAAGACACGTTAGGGGGTGGTCTCTCCTCACTTGGTGTGAGGACTCCTAAGGCCAGAATACAGGAAGGACTTGATTTTTGGTCATCCAGCAAGGCAGGCGTGTCAAAGCTGGAATCGGACCCCGGGTCTCTGCATGGCTGCCCATCCTTCTGGATTAACAACAATAATCAAAAACAGTACCAGTAACAACTGTTACGACCAGTCTGTGGGCGTTTCTTTGTTAAACGTCCACAAACTGTTAAAGATAAACAAGTAAAACCAGGCACGACTTTTGTTTCCCCAGTTCCGCACCTCCCTGCACCTGCTCATGGAGACCTTGAATGCCACCACGCCGCACTACGTCCGATGTATCAAGCCCAACGACGAGAAGCTCCCCTTCCAGTAAGTGTGTGCGGGCGTCGGCCTGGCGCCTCATGGCCGGAGTCAGGCCAGAGAAGCATCTTCACGCCTCCTTAGGAGTTCAGGGGGTAGAGGGAAGGGGCAGGCACAGCCTTACAGGGGCCCGCAGTCTTCA